TTATGCTTTAAATACAAACTTTCCTATAATAGATGTCAGTTTATTATGATTTTTACCTTCTGTAGGTACTAAAACCTTGGTAGTTCATGGACAGAATGAGTGCGATATCCCAACTCAGTTGCCAGTCCACGAAGACACTCAATTTGAAGCCCTGTTGAAGGTAGGAATGACTTTTGACAGAAATGATTTTTTATGCACAATGCCTAAATCGAAACATGCAATTTAGAATAAAATGGCGTTTTTCTATCTCTAAATGGATGTACACATTTCTTTACTCTTCTAGAATCTGCTCCACTATTATGTACTTATGCTATTTCCTTGCATAATTTTTTTCACTTTTACTGACATTTTAGCCCTGCATTGAAGTAGTCAAAATCAGGCAGGTTCTGTCTCGGCCGTAGCAGCGGCTTGGTACTCTGGTGTTATTGCTAACTCCTCTTGGAATGCTGCGAATTCCTGCTCAGGAAGAATTCCTGGCATCATTTGTGGTTCTGGAGGTGCCCTGAGTGTTCTCACTGACAGTGCTGGGGCAAACTAGCTGTCAGCTGCCAATCCATGCCAGAGACCCCTTCTGTGGCATTTAGTTGAACAATGTATGGTCTTGACTTGTCAGTGGCAGAAATAACTTGAGAAGCAGAAATATATTCCTTAGGATAGATCAGGTGACTCAAAAAAACATTTTCTAATAGCTATGGCAATGATTCCCCTCAAAGGAAATGTGATCCATAGCTAGATGCCCCTGTAAGCTTTTTAAGGTAAACTAATAAGTAAAACGGTACCATGATTCTCAATTTATCTGGAGTCCAAACTCTTAGTTATCTAATTTCCTGGGCCCAGCTGTAAGTAGAAAAGGCCTCTGAAAAAAATCAGCTTTGCCAAACTTGTATATTTTATTTCGGTAGAAGGGGTCATCCCTCCTTCTTTAGGCTTCGCCCAGACTTCTCCAGAGAATTTCTAAGGCCCAGTGAAGCAAATTGCAACAACCACTCCATTTTTATCATCCTGCTGATCGGTAGGATAGCGTGAAGGCAGACAAATGTGTTCAAGCTCTGGCTCCACCATAACCAGTGTGACCTCAATCAAATGATAGGACCTCTCAAGTCTCAGTGTCTTTTTCAACAGTACTGAGATACTTGTTCGGGTTATACAAGTTATGTGGAAAGCTCTGAACCTAGTATGTAGTATGTAGTAAGTGCTCAATGCATTGTAGTTTGTGTTATGCTTAATGTTTCACTAAATATGATTTCTCCCTGATACTGAGACCAGTAGTGCCACGGTGCCTCCACAGACCATCACTCAGTCTGAATTACAGTTGTATAATTGTGGGCACTATGAGAGCAGACAGTTTATGTTACATTATTGGTGTTTATTATATCATTCTTTGGATAACTGTGTTTGTATATATCTTCATATATAT